TAAAATGATTCTACGATTGCAGGAGTGGACTGGTGTCTCACAGATCTTTACTCGGAATCTCTACCAGAATCGTCGTAACGATGTGATTCTGATCACCAGTGTTGGAACAGCTACTGCTCGACAACGTCTGGCTCGGCTTCTGCTGCTTCCGATCGACCAGCTTCGACGCGCCATTCGTGATGAAGTGATGCCAGCATCTATTCGTGATGAGAGTCTTTAGAAGATTCTAGGCTTCTTTTGTTTTTTTTGTATGTAACGAGAATTTTTGAAATAGAGTACAAAGTTTAAAATTAATTTTTTGCAACCGTAGATCTTCTTTGTTTGTTTTTGATTTTTTGTTGGTTTTGTTCTTTTTGCATCTTTGTTACTCTATAAAGATTTAAAAATGTTTTTGCAAGGTAGAAAGGAGTTTTAACAAGCTCTATTTATTGAGGAAATATCAGTTCAAAGGCGCTGGCCAATGAAAAACAAAACGCTGGCAGTTGCCCCACTTTAGATTGACTGAACATGCCCACTACCGTATTTGAGTACCCTTGGTCTGCTTAATAAATACGGTCTGGGCGAGAGTTATGTAAACTGGGTAGGACATCAGTTGAAAGGCTCTGGCCAGGGGAAAACAACGCTTACTGTCATTCCACTTCTAAGTAACTAAACTTGCCCACTACCGTATTCGAGGCTGCTTGGTCTGCTTGAGAATACGGTCTAGGCGAAAACTATGAAATTTCGATTTTCGGCCAAAGTCATAAGGTCTTTGATTTACTTGTCGCGTAGCATGCTCAGGTCTTTCTCGAATAAGAAGCTCAGCCCCTCAAAATGCCAAGCGCTGCTTTCAAAGGCACAAACTTTCTCTGGAAAAAAATCCGATAGGTCATTTGTAGTGCGCACAGACACAACATATGCTTATTGTGATTGCATGTATTCAAATAAAACATCTGAGAATAAGGCATCATGATCGAATGCAATACAATCACACACTTGCGACGTTCCACTTTCTACAAAAGAAGTTGGCAGTAGAAGGCTCTCGAAATGCTGCAAATGGCAGATTCAAATTCATGGCAGTTATTATTACGTTATTAGGCTAATAGATAACAAACATTTGGTACAAAAACTCTGCACAATAAAAATAATAAAGCAACAAAATTGTGGCAGGGTAAGGCAGTATTTGAAAGTTATCGAGATATGGCACCAGAAAGCAGCTAACAGTAAGGCTTTGCCAATGGTTGTGATGTAGTGACCAATGAAGAAGATAAGTATTGATTTGAGAACATCATCATCGGTTTTTCAGACAGACTTGGCAACGTGACACACGATCCTTCAAGCCTC